CCTGCATTTTCACTTAAATTGAAATATCTCACAAACTGTAAGTCCTAGGTATGCAGAACCTTTAATAAAGTTCACCTATTTTTTTACGGTGCTTTCAAAAATGCAGTAAAATACAGGGTGTTCCATTTAAAAAAACATAACTTTGATATGGTACGCTTTTCCTGGACACCCTGTATATTTCAAAATATTTTTAAAATGTAGCCGTAATCAACCTACACATACCCACCTAAACAGGTTTCTGTAACATTTGCCGTTTGGTCACTAGCGACCGAGGCGTTACTGGTGGCCCACCCTGTATATGTTCAACTGACTTTACAAAGACTATAAAACTGTTTGCATGTCTTTTTAACTTTCTATATTTGTAGTAGACGTCATTATAACTTTCTCTATATAATTATGTTATCGCGTCAAACAACTACTCTGCGAGCTACAGCCCCGTCCACGATCATTACAACCTGTCTAATATCGTACAGCACAGTGGCAGATATAATCAGATGTGATTTCTACTTTTTGTTCGTCTTGTTGCCACGCTTCTCCTTTTCGCGCACATTTGGAGTCACCTAGCTCGCATTGTATTCGCATTTCGCGCGGGCATATTGCGAAATACACAATCTTGTAACGCGTCGCCTGGCCCTAATTTATTTTTTTACCGACCCCCCATCTCTGTGGAGCGAGCGATAAAGTAACCGCCGGCGGGGATGTCTCACAAAAAAAAGTTGACTGATGCCGTCCATTTAGTAAAAAAAATAGGTGATAAAATAAAAATGAATTCGAGAAGTGGGAGCGGAAAGCGCGATTACTTTTAATAAGGATAATTTCGTTGTTCTTGACGGTGTCGCAGAGTAAAATAAGTTACGTGATGCAAAATTATTTTTCTTAATTCTCGAAATTAAAAGAAAAAGGAATTTGGCTGTGATTGGTGTATTTTTTCACGAGATTTTATTCAACCAATCATTGTAGACGCAGTGGTTTTTTATTGTTCGTTGTAAACGAATCACTAACATTGGTGACGCAACGATTTAGGAATTTTACCAGACACGTGGCTAATCTTATTAGAACACCCTGTGCTGTACTGCAACCTGTGCCGATTTCCCTTAATTGAATTTTACTTCAAAGTAACACTTTCTTTATCGCTAGTAGTTTACGGTCCACTCTTAGCTTCAGCTATAATTTATTGTGTTCTATCCTTTATTTTACTACTCACAGTAACTTTTCTAATGCACTCTAAATTCCAGTTTATGAACGCCGCGGGAGCTTCTCAGACGTTATACACGCCATTTTGCCTAAGACGGCCGTAAAAATGATAAATAGTTGGGCGGTTAGGAAGTCACGACTCGGATAATTGTGGGAGCTCTTTTTTTTAATTAACAAGGGAGCTGTAATCTACTTACAGTTACGGACATCTTGAGAGACCAATTGCTGGGTAATTTATTAAC